AATCAATGAAAAATGCATACATCAGCCACTTTGACTCCCATTATATAATTTTTCTCTCCATAACAGCTCTAGATAGTACATATAATTATATTTATAGATAACTGAGACTCTAAAAGACTAAGGAAAAATGCTATTAGTCCTTGGTGTGTATGGGGCTTTATGAAGTTTGAACTGCAAGCTTAACTGGTATATTATATGTCATAGATAGGCAAATGTAATTATTTTCTGTTATAGTTCTTTAATTGTGCAATTCGAGGTCAAATATTGTTATATTGGTATTGTATATTTGCCGCTGATTCATTGAAATTCTAATTACACTCCTAATTGCACTCTAATTCTCCTGAGTGTTGATTTATTAGATGATAGTCTGCCTCATTAATTCTTGATCTTTATATTCTGGGTATTTAAATTTGTCAGAAAAGAACACGGTTTTCTTAAAAGAAATGATGTCAAATTAGTATTTTTCTATCATAACACAGTAAGTCACATTGACAAATGAAAAGCTTCAAAGTCAAGGAGCTGGTCTTTAGTGGTGCTTCACACACAGGTCAGTTTGGCATAGGCCTTGGTATCATTAAGAACTTAATGGTTGCCTCGGCATGGCTTTCGTCAGAGAAGAATGCATTAGGTAATAACCACAAGGGCCTGAATTTGGTCCAGCAGTGTGTCATATTTATCAATGATTGATATGAAAAAATTGAGGCACATTATTATGAAGCACAAATAGATACACAGACACATATATGCAGACAAAAAATACTACAATGAATAAAATAAACAGAATAAAACAGAAATAGTTGCATAGTCTTGAGGAAAAATACATTCTAGGCATAAAAATCAGTTCAATAATGAAAGGACTAAGATAATTTCCAGGAAATGAATACATCTTTGAAAGAGCTCATGATCTCATATATCCCTAAGCTCTTATATTTTAACTTGTAAATGAAGCTACATATTAAATTATTGCAGCTGACTTAAACCAGGACGTTTTTTTCCTTCCGCAACTCAGCATAGTGCCTAGAGCATTGTAAGTAGCAATAAATATTTACTGAATGAATGGGTGCATTTCATGCTTCATTTGAGGTTCATAATAAGGAAGCACTTCATACTAATGGTAAGAGGCTGTGTAGTGTGTTATTGTTGGAAGGGTGATTAGAGGGCTGCATTGTATCCGAAGGGGAGGCTGATTGAGAGGACAAATCAATTCAGTGCCTACATTCTGAGAAACAGTGACAGGAGTCTTATTCTCATGGGTATACTTTGAGTTTGTCTTTCTTGATTCAGAGGCAGACTGTATCCTCAGAGAAATATGAATGTTTTATATTGCCAATTGTTTTCTCTGAACTGTTTTAAGATATCTTACTAAGCCCTTTACTTGAACTCAATTCTTTGGTCTTTTTCTGGTAAAATGTTTTGCTATAAAATATTTTACTTGATTCTGGAAGGTATCTTTTAACTATCTACCTCAAAAAGCAGACCTGCTTACCTGAGAGGACTGTAATGTCTCCACAGACTACCACAGGAAAATAGGATTCTAGGCCATAAAGAAAGGGGTTTTGAGGAAAGAGGGAGAGATATCAAAGGTCAGTGATGTTCTTTTTCTTTGTTCAAAATTCAAGTATTTCAATAGGCAACCAGATAATAGTCTCTGAATAAAGAAAATGGTATTTGTGGTGTTTTAGCTTAACTGTAACAACTTGATTGGCTAAAGAAATACCCAACAGATAGTAAGGCATACTTCTAGGTGTGTCCAGGTGGGTCATGGAGGTGTGACTTTAGGTATTATATGTGTCCCTGGTATTGTTCCCCTAATCTGTCATAAACTAAGCATCTTTGTTCCACATTGCCATTCCAGCATGACATTTCTGACTTGAAGCAAACTGATAATGAACTAAATCCTCCGAAATTGCAAACCAGATAAAACTCTCCTTTAAATTCTGGGTGTCAGATATTTTGTCTAGCAACAGGAAAACTGATCAACACAATATCTCAGGAACCCGAATCCTTGCCAGGGAGAAAGTCAGGTTCGTTTTCCATGATAACGCAATCCTTCACAGTGGTGATGGGCAACACTGTTGCTAAGCCTTCTGTGGAATCTGAAGTTCCATCCAGATGTTGCAGGGAGATCAGGGGATAAGGCTCAGAACAGACCTTTGGAACAGGCTCTCCGTGTGGTTTTCATATACTAAAATTGTGAGTCACTGGGCTACATCATGCTACCTCTCTTTCATCCTGTGTCAAAGAGCCACTTCAGTATGTGTGTGCAACTACTCAACTCCATACTTCAAGTACATGTTCATTGAACACTTCTTGCCAGGAATTGTCTGTTCAGTTGAATCGTGTAATTTTCATTATAATTCTATTTTACATATACATAACCTACAACAGAAGTTTTTCAAGAGCATATATTTAGTAAGCATAACAGCTAGACTTTGAAGCCAACTTTTTTTCTTCAGAAGTTGTATTCTTATCCACACTTAATCTTACTCTAGTGGTTAAGCCTTAAATGACCTGCATGTGTGAAGTTAGAAGTTACTTTGTATTAGATAGTCAAGATCTGCATCTTTGGTTTATGAAGTCCGAGAATGTGACAATCACTATTTCAAAGACTTCTAAGACAGAAAAGGAAGTTATAAATGATGGGATAAACAATTTAAGAATCTTGAAACTAAAAGGAGAGCTGAAATGACAGGAATTAGAGCAGGGAATGCCTGTATGAGATTAGAGACATGTTAGATGAATAATTGAAATTTGCATTTCAATTTCTTAATTTTAAAAACAAACAAAAACCAAAAATCCCACTAGGACATTTTAATCTAAAGTAGCTAGAAAAACCCTAGACCTTGATTTTTCACTGTTGGCCACTGCTTAATAAGTCTGAGCTAATGTAACATGTCCTACAGATCTTGAAACTATTGTTCAATTCCAGTAGATTGACAAGTAGGCTTGAGTGTACTCAAGATGATACACATTGAGATATATAATGGAAAATTTCTTATGAAGAAGGGAAAACTTTCAGTCCATAATTGTATGTCAGTGGCACTGTGTGAGAAACTGAACACTTACATGGCAATAATGATGATGCCTTCAATAATAACAACAAAAACTTTTTTTTTTTTTGGTACTGGGATCAAACTCAGGTCCTTGCACTTGAGCAGCAGGTGGCAAAACCACTGAGCTAAACCCCCAGCCCAAGGGTTTCTATCTTAAACATAAAGGATTAGCTTATATGTTCTTTATTACATCCTCTAGCTCTTGTATATTATCATGTCCAGACTACAGAAATGTAGTAGAACAACAACGTAGTTTTTGAGCACATATATTTAAACATATTGTTCATGAGAAGAAACAAAAAATAGGGGAATATTATCCACTGACCTTTGGGAAACTCAGTTTATAGAGAACCAAATTCCATATTTTTAGGAAGTATTCATGTGATAGTTGACAAAGTAACGTTATGGATGCTTAAATGGTGTATTTCAGTTAACAAATATGCTACAGAGGACTACATTTATTATAAGATAGATGGGCACTATGATGTCAGCACTTGCTTCATACCATATTCCTTACTTTGCCATATTGGAAAAACTTTCTTTGGCTAGTAGAAGTATATATTCATAATTTATTTAGTCATTTGCTCGCCCAATAGTTAAGTATAATAGGGATATAATTTACATATATATGAATTTTACATACACAGATTTGGCTGTGTATTGCTCATCATTATTCCACGCAACCTTTTTTCTAAATCCATAATAAATTCATGGAGGGAAAGCCTTAAGGGGGTGGAAAAGATAGATATTTGGAAAAATCTGTCAATTAATTTCTAATGTAACCTAAAGAAAGGAAAATTATTTTTTCAACAATATCTTGAAACTTTTAAAGTAATGAGGTAAAAGTAATTTGAAATAGCATTCACTTATCATATTTCATATTAATAAAAATGCAGTTCAATACACACCTTGACTCATTTAGAGATATACCAATAAAAAGCAAGCAAGAAAGAGATGAAACTTTCAAGTTCTCAATGAATTTACAGTAGTATTCTCAATGAGTTTATAGTACTATTTGATGTATATCATACTTTCTCAAAAAGATAAAATGTAAAGACTCATTTTTAAATCAGAAAGAGTTATAAAATTATGTGGGATTCAGAGTGAGCAGAGAGCCCATCTGCTTGGCAGAGATTCAGAAGGATGCCATGGGTAACACTTAGGAGCGATTTACGTGTTATTCACTTACACACATTAGTGTAAACCATAATTTAGGTAATACTAATTTCACAGATGAAGAATTTGAGGTCTGTGTCTTGAGGTACATATACAGGATATTGACTGCAGAAGGAAATCACAGGCAAATTCACAGAGGTAGAAAAGTGTTTATAGACTAGAAGGAAATTGGTTTGATACAGGTAATGGAGCTGCAGGTGAGCATACGGGGACACAATGGTCAAAGGTATCTGAGGTCCTAGGATGAAAGACCTACATACATACAGTGTATAATTTAGGGGACTTTCGGGAGCATGGATACATCATAGGATGCATGATTAGGATAGTAGGATGGCACGATTAGGATGAAATCTGAGTCAAACTAATCCAATAAGTATGCTAGAATAGGTGGAAAGTGAAGGCAGAAGGACCAGTTGGAACTCTACTGGTAATGGCTAGGCAGGTAGTGCATGCAAGGGTAATAATGAAGAGGAGAGGTACATTCAACAGACCCTACAGGTGGAGATGATACGTGACTTTATGACTGGTAACAGACATAAGATAAAGGATAGGAAGACTCAAAGATGCCTGGTCCTTTCAAATATAGCTAGGTAACGTTAAATAAATTTCTAAGAATCAGTAAGAAAACCTTACCAGATGAACCTTCTCACATACACAAAACTCTCCATTAGTATGTGACATTAGAAAGAACTGAAGTCAATAGACTTCTGAAATGTCTATTTATTTCATGGTAGTAAATAATATGAAACAACACGTATAAAGCAATCTTACCTCTTTGCTATAGTCACTGTCAGAATCACTACTAAGTTCCTCAGTATTCATATTTTCCAAATCAGATTCCCCAGGTGCAATTGGCACTATCACTGTGAGGCTGGGATTATGAATAAATGATTGATAATCACTTTCTTCCACCAAGTTTCTGTCCACGCTGCTTTCAAAGCCACTGCTTTTCTCATTTTCCTTATGGAAATGGCTATCTTTGCTCATTTCAGCAAGTGTATGGTTAGAGATACAGTTTTCCTTTTTGCTGTTTAGATCTTCCACTTGTCTTACTACCTGGGGAACTTTTGGCTTTTTTGAAAATGCTTTTAGAATAAACTCACGCGCAGTCTGTTTCACATAATCTATTCCCTTTTTAATTCTGGCCACAGCAATCTGGAGGTTGTTTGCATCGGGATCATCTTCAATGGCTGTGAGATTGTCAGAACTAAATGAACTCAATAATAAAGCAAGAAACAGGTTGAGGACCTATATCAGGTTGGGGAGGGTGCAGAGAAATGGGGAGACAGGAAATGAAAAGAAAATAAGGATAATTTTTCTTAAATATAGTTCTCAATACAAACTAGATTCCTCACTACTCTCTCTAGAGTTCTGAGAACTCTAGGGAGCTGAGGGACAACCACACCCAGGAACAATTACCATGGGGAGCAGAGGATGCTCCTTCAACATTAAAATTTTGTCATTTTTAAGTTCATTTCTGTATCAGGAGACCTTTGGCCCATTTCCCTTTATTGAACTTTAAAAATTTTCCTGACTTTCACCAATAATTATTATGTTCTACTAGTGAGAAATAAATTGAATAAGAAAACTGGACTGCTATTTATTATGTTGAAACATTCAGGCCAAGATCTCTCTTCACTTTTCCCAGAAGATAAATATTACTTGTTGCAATAAGGAGCATATAATATTTATATAGCCCCCACTATGAAATATTCTGTCCAAGTATTGTGACAGCTTGCCACTTAAGGTGGATTTTAAAGTATAAAATACAACCTGTCCACTAAATTTGACTAATATCAGATAATAACACTGATTGGCTGCCTTCATTGCCTATCATTTTGGCACTGAAAGAGGTTATAAAAGAGGTTAACTCAATATTTTTTTTAAAAAAAGAATTTTCACGGAAGTCAGAAGACATGTAAGTTTTATTTACACATCATTTTATATGGGAAACAAAATTACCATTTGATGTAAGTCTCTTTGTGGCCCCAAAACACCCATCTCACATTTAGAAAAATCAAAATTACATTTGAGAAGAAGAGACTCACCCTGATTTGGGCCACACCCAAAACAATTTGTCAGAAACGTTAAACATAAAAGAGAAGAGTGAAATTGTCAAAGAAAATTCCAGTGAGGGGAAACAAATCATTAAAAAAATTTGGTAATCACCAAGGAATCCTAAAATAGTTTAATTCTGGTCTTTATTCTCATTGAAAAATATACTTCAATATAATATATGTGTTTCAATATGTTTGTGTTTTGATAGGATTATTGATGAGGACCTGAAAGTCTGCTTCATAACATTAGTCTCCTTAATCCATGCAAAGGTTAGGAGACTCCCTTTTCTATATTATGCTTATTTCTTCACTGAGAACAGATACAATAACTTTCCATTGAAAATCATAACAAGACTGATATTTTATCATAGTCTAATGGATGTCACACATGTAAATAAAAGGCATTTTGTATCACCTCTAATATCATATTATGCTAGAAAAGAAATATTCATTTAATGCTTCATTTAAAGTCTCATTTTGATTAATAGTTTTCATCATTTTTCTGACACAGGCTTAAGATAATTAAAATATTCTATTTTTAAACATTCTCTCTAAAACTTTTGGTTCTTAACCACTTCAATTAATTGGTAGAAAAATGACCTAAAGAATAAAAAAGAAAATTTAAAAATATTAGTTCAGTTTAACATCTCATTAACTCTGACATCTAAGATTATATGAGGAATATAATTTTTATTTCTTCTCAAATTCTATATTATCAGTAATTTTTAAATTATTCAATACTTGTTTATCAACATTCTGAATTATAGTTCTGTTTTTTATTACCATGGATCAGTAGCTAATGAGTGACAATCTTAATCAGTCTCTATATAAAGTCAGCAATCACTAATGTGCCCATCTGTGTTTTACTATAAAGCTACACTGCCTTTCAAAGAAAAACATTATCTTCCCACCAGTCCTCAAGCTCAAATATTATATTACATATTCTTTAAAGACTCACTTCAAAAGCTTTTCTTGAGTCCTAATGTGAAACTTAATTTTTTTCTATCAAGACCATTTTTAACTTAATTGTATTTACTTATTCTTTCTTCTCTGATTACTTTTTACACCAATTTTTTCTGCCCTATTAGACTATAAGAAAATTTTAGAGAAGGATTATACTGCAGCTATTTTTTGTCTATCTAAATATAAAACAATACTTAAATAAATTTTTTCATGGAGAAGATACTGAAAAATATTGAATAAATAATTGATCAGACCCCCCAAATATCTGGTTTTTACATATGTGTCAGTAAATAAATATATAAAATACCTCTGATTACTTTTATGTGGCATGCTTTTACAATTTATTCTTCTAATTATTTGGCTATTCATATTAAAATTTTGTAAGAAGAAATATAAAAACTAATATATTTGTAGGAAAGTACAAAACTTAAGCTCAGAAGAACTAAACAAAATATGTGTTTTATTGCATTATTGGAAAGATTTGTGACCCTTTTTTTTTTTTTTTTTGGTACCAGGGATCGAACTCGGGTCCTTGTGCTTCCACAGCAGGCAGCGAAACCACTGAGCTAAATCCCACTGAGCTATGATCTTATATAAAACTAGAAAATTGGCTTATTATTATAACTTAAGGATTATCAGTAGTTACAGAATGGTAATCATGATGCATATTTTTAAGCAGTAAAACTCTATAATTTGCATTTCATAATTCACTCTGTATTTCTGGTGCACAATCATTTAGTATGTGATTTGATGAATGTAGATGTCTATCCTATTCTCTGACATTTTTTATATGTGAGCTTCAAGGACAACAACAACAAAAAATTAGCAACCTTTTTTATCAAGGTAGTGGGAAGTGAAGGTACCCACCTATGTATGTATGGTTATTACTACACCCTACCTTCTAGTATACCTCACAGGAAATTTGATGCCAAATTGACCATTGAGATGAGCCAACATGGTGGATTTCAAAATGGAGGTTAGTGGCTCCTGAGAGAGCATCTCATCTCAATTTTTTCCTACTTATAAGCATGAGAGTTTTTAACAACCAGTACAAGGAACAAAGTGAAAAAAAATGCAAGGTCTTAATTAGGAAGATACGAAGATTGTTGTGTAAATGAGAGGCTAAGGACCACTAGTTGACAAACTTTTTCTGTAAAGGGCTAGATAATAAATGCATTGGGCTTTAGGAGAAGTAGGGTTTTTACGATAGTCATTCAACTTTGCTATTATAGTGTAAAGAAAGGATCAAGAGATGTGTGGAGGAAAGAAGAAGGGAAGAGAAAAGGGATGAAAAAAGGAATGAAGATATTTTATGTACATGTACCAACTACCCACAAGGAATGTAACTATTATTTACTACAAACATGTACTAATAAACTAAAAAAAATAGCAAAAATAAAAAATAAAATCAATAAAACAAAAAATATAGATACATGTAAATGAATGAACATGCCTGTGTCCCAATAAAACTTTATTTATGCACACTATCAATATTTTTAATCTTTTAAAATGTAAAATTCCTTAGCTCAAGATCATCCTAAAACAAATGTTGGACTGCATGGTGATGAGTCTTGATTGCCAACTTGATTGGCTTGGGACACCTAGGAGATTAGTGAACTACACTCAGTGTGTTTGGGTAATGGAAGCATGACCATGGGAATTATACCTAGTCCCTGGCCCCTTCCTCTCTAATGTTCTTCCCCTGTTCTCTGCTTCCTGGATGTCATCATGTGTGAGTAGCTTTCTTCCACAACACCCCTCTGCCATGATGTTACTACTGACTTGGAGCCAGCTAACCATGGACTGAAACTTCTGAAACCATGAGCCAAAATAATTCCCTCTTCTTATAAGCTGCAGTGTCAGGTATTATGTTCCAGTAATGGAGAACTGACCAATACAAACTGGATTTGGCCTGTGGACCATAATTTGGTGATCCTTGCTATAGATGTTAGGCTTTGTGACCATAGTGTGGTGTGACCAGTACTTTTATTTACTTTGGAACATTACAACTTCATTTCGTTCTTGTCAACTTAATTATACATTATTTAATAGGATAGCTTCATATCTGAAGAGACTTCATATTTTTTAAGACATCTGGAACACCACAGATTTAATTCATATGACATGACTATCAAAATGAGAAAATAAAGTACAAACTTTACATTATGTTTTTAAAAAATATCAATAAGGATAATCTGGCTAGAGAAATTAAGACTTTTTTTCCTTTTCTGTTCTTTTATGTATTAAAATTATCAATATTTATTATAATAATTTTATGTCCAATTAATTTTAAATGTATAAAAATGACCAATAATATCATCATAAAATAATTTCTATAGAGAATTTTAAATTTGTGAACATCTGTTTGTTACGTACCACAAGGTTTCCAATGACCATGACCATCATGTAAACAATAAGGCACATGGCCTGACCAGCGACCTCCATGCAGTCCCACATGGTCTCTATCCACTCTCCACACAGCACGCGGAACACGATCAGGAAGGAGTGGAAGAAGTCATTCATGTGCCAGCGTGGGAGTGTACAGTCTTCGTTGATCTTGCAGACACATTCTTTGTAGCTCTTGCCAAAGAGCTGCATGCCGACCACAGCAAAGATGAAGACGATGATGGCCAACACCAAGGTGAGGTTACCCAGAGCCCCCATGGAATTGCCAATGATCTTTATCAGCATGTTCAGTGTTGGCCAGGATTTTGCCAACTTGAACACACGGAGCTAAAAATGCAAATATAGTTTAGTATTAGTCATATAAAAATTTCAATGTTTCCAATATCAAGCTTTTTGTTCTAAGTTTAAAGCAATTTATCTCCATTTTTCATTCACAATCTATTTTCAAAATTCCTGTTATTTTCTTACATTTGCCAACATATATCTACAAGACATACCATGAATTGCGTTTAAGGTTGTGATATGAGCTTCTTATCATTGTTCTAGGTATTAGTTCTTTAGGAATTGACAATTTAACCATGATTTTATTTTCTGATGCTTTTTTGGGTTTTTCATGCTGATATTCATAATGCCAACCATTTTAAGAAAAATTTTTTTTTCCATTAAGTTTTTTGGTACATTTTAGGCATACAATACAGTTACATTCATCATTGGGAACTTGTACCCTCACATGACACATCTTGGTTCTTATTTTATCCCCATTCCCCTGCCTTCCCTTCACCCCCTCCACCCCTCCCTATTTACAGAGATTTTGTTTCCATTTTTTCCTTTTCCCATATTTTTTCCTTTCCTTTCCCCTACCCCTCCCACTTCCCCTACCCCTTTACACCTTTTTCTTCCTATTTCACATTATCTATTATACATTTTGATCCTTATTTACACTTTTTATTACTCACACCAGAGAAAGTATTGGTATTTACACGTGTGTCCTATTTATTTCACTTAAGAGTATGGCCTCAATGTGCATCCTTTTAGCTATCATTCTTTATGGCTGAGTAGTACTCCATTTTATAAAAAAACCCACATTTTCTTTATCCAGTTTCCAGGTGATGGGCAATAGAGCTGTTCTCATACTTTAGGTCTTACAAACTGTGCCACTATACACATGGGTGCACATATGTCACTGTGGTATGATTCTTTTAATTCTTTTGGGAAGATACCCAGCAGAGGAATAATATTTTAAAAATATTTTAATATATATTTTATATCTATTGTTTAGGGGACAACGATTTGATCATGAACTATCAGATCCCTTAAGTTATGATACATTATGGTCAAAATTAGCTAAACCCTAAGCTTATTATTGTGAAATAAATTATTGGCATATTGGGCAAAAATGCTTTTATTGTACTAGTATATTCTTTCAATTACAGTAGAACATGTGCTCAATTTCCTGAAATTAAAATATTTATGCATTTTTAAGCTTTTGGCTAAGTACATTTATTAATGAGTGGACTTTCTTTTACCAAATATCAAGACCTAGTCTTGCCTTTTGATTCAAGCCTTGAAAGTTTTAAATAATAATAATGCAAGCCCAATACACTCATTTATTATAGAATATTATGGCAAGGTTAATTTGTACTTACCAGTCTGAATGATCTCAGAACTGATAACCCTTCCACGTGTGATAGAAAAAGTTCTACCAAACTTAAAGTCACAATAAGGCTGTCAAAAATATTCCAGCCTACTTGGAAATACTCATATGGATCCATGGCAATTAATTTCAAAACCATTTCAGCTGCAAAGATTCCAGTAAAGACCTAGTGAGAAATACATTTTTCTTGTATTATTAGAAGGTATAGAATCAATATAACGATTATAATGATGATCTACTTCGCATTTACTGCGTTCCAGAAAATATGTTGCATACTTTGCAAATGGACATTATCTTACTTTGTCCTTTAAACAGATGTAGCTATTCCTATAGCTCTCATACCAGCATCGAAGGGTTCCAAAGCTCCGTCTTCTCAGTTTTAATCATCATGAGACACAATTTAAGGGGAACACATTAAAATTTCAGAGAAGTAAAACCTTTGACAATTAACACAGTCACCCTTTGCAAAATGTGTATGGGGGTCACAAGTCATTTTAGAAAAAAATACAGATTGACAGTAAAATTTTGATCCAGACTTTTTTCTAGTCTTACTGCTCTTAGAAGAATAAAGAACATGTTGACTCACTCTTTAAAAGATTTATTAGTAGAAGTGGAAAAAGTAACTGGCACAGTGATAGTTGAAGTGAGACTTCTAAAGCTTTCATACAAAAGTACACCAAAACATGATTAATTCATGACGACCATATCAAAGGACTCACTTAAAGAAGTAACAGTGAAAAACTTGCTTATTACTCATTTGAGTACACTATGACTCAAAGAATCTGGCCACAAATTGTTAAGGGAAATAGCTCTATAAATGCATCAGATAATTTACAAAACTACTATCAAGAGATTAGCAGGGAATACCTGAATTTGCTGTTGTCATAATAGATAAGATACATGACAAAACTTTGGAGTTCACAATAATGCAGTAAATGGAGTTTTTAATCTCCTGAGAAATTGAAAGTGTAAATAAGGATTAAAATGCTTAAAAGGAATAATTGATAATTTGAAATAGGCAAAGGTCCAAAGGGGTAGGGGTGGTGGGAGGGGAAGGGGAAAGGAAAGAAGGGAAAGGAAAAATTATGAGAAAAGAAAAAAAATGGAAACAAAATCTATGTAAATAGGGAAGGGTGGAGGGGGTGAAGGGCACACAGGTAATGGGGAAAAAATAAGAACCAAGATACATCATGTACAGGTACAAGAACCCAATGATAAATGTAAACGTATTGTATACCTAAAATGTACCAATAAAATAATTTTTAAAAATAATGCAGTAAACTCAGAAAGAAGGTACAGGTGTGCATGATCAATAATTTTAGAAATAGTTCTGCCTTTTTCCAAAGATGAATAGAAGGAAAGAAGAATGCTAACTCAGAGTTAAAATGTTTAACTCTCCAATAAAGTTCAAAATATCTGTTGAAGGGTATATAATTATTAAGAGGCAGAATCATGATTTAAATCCAGTTCTTTGGGACATCAAAGGCCCAGATTACTTCACCAGCATTATATCAATACAATGCATCTATAGTTCTTTTACAAATATGTGAAGTGTATATTTTTAAGGAAGTTGACATGTAATTATAAAATATGTAAGAAAGTATCAAAATTTCAAAGTGTTCAACAGACATACTGGGAGACAAAAACCATTATTCACTTCCAAAATGATGACACATATGGAAGCAATATTGTTATTTATAGAATTTAAAACTATTGCAAAGTTATTTAAAGATGGAATATACAACCAGAAACATGACTGCACAGTAATACGTTGGTACATTCTAGATATGAATAATTATTTAGCTGCATGTGTACTGACTTACAAAAAGGATGAAACAATAATGACAATGAAAGACAGACACTGTGGGTGCATAACACCAGAGAAGAAACTCACCAAATTTCCCACACTGAGTACATTTTTGAATTCTAGAGTCATTGGATGGTGTTCCATAGCCATAAATAACGTATTTAAAACTATGCAAATGGTAATTGCAAGATCTACAAAAGGATCCATTACAATAAAATAGATAAACTTTTTGAATTTTATCCAATACGGAGAGCAATTCCAAATCAAAAATGTGTGTGCAAATCTGTACCACCAAGGTGGACATTTTTGTCTGGACTCTTCAAGTTCTGGAAGAAAAAGGAAAAGCAAAACAGGAAGCCAGTCCTTTGGATATTTTATCCATAGCCAGATACAAATTAGCAACACAGTCTAATACTCGAAGAAAGCTTGTGGTTTACACTTTGCATAACCATGCTGTTCCTATGAAAGCATAGCATATTACATGACAGTGCTGTATTACATTTGTTGACTAAATCAAGCAGAAGTGAGAGGAAGTCAGTGAAATCAATACACAGGCAGATACACAAGCATGTCTGAGACAAAAATACACTAAAATATGATGAGAAGTAGGAGAACTGGTGTTTCCCTAATGGAGAAATGTTTATGTTCCACCAAAATACATACTTTTCTCTTGTGTATTTAATCCTATGACAACAGTAAGATAATTATATTCTGCCCAGAAAAATATTTTCCTATTTTTAAGTGAAAACAATCCCTGAATAAAGACACCAGAAATAATTTAAAGGGGAAAACAAAAAATAGATATTTCCCCTCTTAGCTCCTTTGCTTCTCACCATGAGTTTAGGGGGTAGGCCAAAACTTTAAGGCCATGATGATAGCATGGAAGTGAAAGTTCAGCCTTTGGGCAAGGTGGAACCCCGGGCACACATACTGTAATGAGAGAGGGTGGGAATTAGTACATTGTAAAAAGTCCTCATCCTTTCATTCTCTTTCCTTATCAGAAGAGAGAAATTCAGAGATTAGAGTGTGTCTAAAATTATGTAAGTGAGAAAGTCACATAACTTTGTAATCTAACTTTCTATATCAATTACTATTAAATTATTTATCTCTGAAAGATCATTATATCTGTTTTTAATCACAAATAATGTTATTCTTTTTAAGGAATGGGTGTGTGTGTGTGTGTGTGTTTCAATACTGAGAATTGAACCCAGGGAACATTACACAGAGTTACATCCCCATTTTTTCTTTACTCTGAGATTCCGAGTCACCAAGTCACAAAGTTGTCCTTGCTAAGCTTGAACTTGGAAACTTCCTGCCTCAGCTTGCTAGAGTGCTAGAATTACAGGTGTGTACCTCCATAGCCAGCTCATATTTAATCACTTTTAAACAAACAAGATTGTATCAGTTTCCATTTGTTATCTTTACTATTTCTTAAGGCCAATTTACATTCTTTGAATTCCTCCTAAGAAATTTATGTACTTAGCTAAAGATTCTAGAATTTATATTTCTTTTATTTAAGGACTGGTATGACAGAGAACATCATCACCTACCTTCTACAGTGTTTGTGAGGATGCTTGCTCTACTCATTGCTCTTTGTCGGACATGGGGATCATTCAGCATATCTTCTGAAAGAAAATAAGAACTGGAACATCTTTTTTTGCGTATTTGAATGGTTGTACCCTAGAAAAAAGATAGGCAATTAAAATCTTAAGAATAGAATTCTGATACAATGTAGGTTTAAAGTAAAATCTTAGGTTATTGTAGAGAGTAATTAAAAGTAGAGACTAGATTTCTGGGTTCAAATTATTGTTTTGTTACTCACTGGCTAGATATCATAGGAGATTTACTTTGTTTCATCATGGGTAAATGAGGATAATAATAGTGCTTGCTTCACATTTTTGTTATGGGGGTTAAAGGAATTAATACTTATGTTTAAAACAAAGCTTGCTATTTTTATTATTATAGAAATATCATCTACTCTCTTCCTAGTTATCCAGTTTATTCGGGTATTTACCAAAGAGTCCTACATAAAAATTTCAAGACAAATGAAGTAGCAATACATGTGTAAGATATAACTCAATGTTATCCAACAATTTTTCTGTGCTTATTCTTTGTTGAAGTTGGCAACATTAATGAAAGCTATTCTAATAACTGTTTCTTGTGGCCAAGAAAGACATCTTGTGAACTCAGCTGACTACACGATGATAAATGACTCATTTTGAAAATGACACTTAATAGTGATTCGAATTGTAGCAAAATAGAGAATGCAAGCTCCATCCGAAAGAAGTGACCAGGATTTATCTCTAAACACTGTTGACATGCAGGCATACAGCCCAGGCACACCATACAAGTTCAAATTCAAGTAAAAATATATTATTTCTTAACCGTGGCAGCTAATTCAAATTTAAAATACTATATTGGGTTCTGTGGAATTCAAAATTATACGCAAACATGCTCTCACACATATATGTCTACACACAAACAACTATACAACTCTGTATCATTTATCTGCTTCAGTGTGGCATGTGGTATGTTTTACAAACATATACTTTACATACTCCATATAAATATATAGTTATAGAGTTGTAAAGTTGTATAGGTGTATAGATGTAATATATGCATCAAACATATACAGGCAAAAATATGTGTGTATGTGTATATGCACAGACACATAGAGGTGTAGTGACTTTTTATAAATATCTCTGTAGCCATATTTTTTGTGCTAAAATCTCTATTTTACTGACTTCCCAGAAGCACAAAATTTCCCCCAAGTCAAACAGTAATTTTTTTCAGTGAAACAAATTCTCTTCCATGTAGCCATGTCTTCAGTACAGAGATAACATTATTTGTCATGCAATGTTTTCATGTAAACTCTATTATGTCACACTTTTATGATAACTGCATTTATAATTCCTCTAGTCTTACATTTTCACTTTAGGATTTACTGTGGTATTGATTTTTCTGTGGTAAAATAAACTTGTAAATAAAAACACTTCATTTAAAAATGTGAAATAATCTCCAAATCTGAAATAAATTACATATTTTACAGACAAAAGGCAAACATCATTGTCAAAGAAAACGTAATGAAAGCATGATTACACAGAAATTTAACATGCTCATTTGGTAAGGAAAACAGGTTGACAGCAAAGTTTAGGCTGCATCATGCAAGCACAGAGCTCACACATTACTGTAGAGCACATGCATTCGTTCCAGCTGAATTATGTGTATGGTCATGGCTTTGATGGAACTGTATTCTCACTTGAAATGCTACATGATCTGCAAATGTAGGAATATATAGGAACAGATGGCATATATGGGGACCTTGCTGAGGTAGTAGAAGCCCTTAAGCATGTTTGGTGGCACAGCACAACGTAGTGAATGAGGAAAGAGTTATCCTGCAAACTCCGAGAATGAGGAAGCTCTCGCTTTCAAGCCTAATTAGACACTTCCCTAACTCCTCAGTTTCACTATTAAACTCTTGGAATTTCTGTTTTGAAGGAGTTGTATTGTTTTTTGTTTGTTCATTTTGGTGCATGTGTTTTGATATTGTGTTTTGATATTTTGTTTGTATTCGTAGACTCCAACTAAAGGAGATCTTTAAAATGCAAACAGTATTGTTTCATTTATGTAGGGAAATTAAGAAATTTATGTAGGGAAATTAATTTCAAAGATAAGCCTACTGTGCATTAGAGAAATGGCAGATCCAGGCAGTTAAGAGCTCATTGTCCAAAACAGAGGTTCTGTGTTTAAACTTCAGAGCTACACATTAGCTAGGTGAATGTGGGTAAATTCTTTCCTTCCTCTGTACCTCAATATCCCCACTTGTAAACAGTGGTAGTAGGGCCCAGGATTTAGCTCAGTGGCACCACGCCTGCCTGGAAGGCACAATGTCCTGAGTACCTGGTACCAAAAAAACAAAAACAAAAAAACAGCGGTAGTAATATATCACCTAAAAGAACTATTGTGAATCCTGAATATGTGCTTGTTATTATTATTATAAATAACTTCAAAAAGATCCCTTGCAAAAAGCTACATATCAAGTAGTGACCTAAAAAGATAGCAGCAGAAAGCAAAAAATACAATTTCTTTACAGAAATGGGACCTATATTCAACTAATAAGGTCAACACTCTCAACATATTTTTTGTGCTGCTATATGTTTCTTTTATAAATTGTTCTCTAAAGAATTGATTTATAATCCCCCAATATAACATCAACAGATAAGTACATTCTTTTAAATAGTGGAATATAAAACATCTTCGAATCAGATGTCTATGACACATAGTATGAGGATTAAGCTAATGAGTCAAAGGTGTGTTTCCACTAGAGAAAGTATTGCAAAATGCAGAGCCATTCATGGGCCAGACAGAAGGCCCCTGCAGCAGAGAGACTGATGCAGGAATAGGGGCCAGCCATGCCTGAGCTATGGAAAAACGTTCTTACGCTGTCATCAGAAGTTGCCTTATCTATTATCACCTCTGGCAGAAGCTGTCCATTGGGAAGCATGAGGGCTGAGGGTCCATCAACCAGGGAAACCACACCATTGCAGTCCACGGCACTGTGCATCTTCCCGTTCACTGGCAGCATTGGGGGGGACCTACTGGCTTGGCTGATGTTACTGCTGCGCCGCTCCCGGAACCTCGGGGGCAGGAAGAGTGAGCCCCGTCTGCTCTCATTGTCTCCAAAAATGCTGTGTTCATCATCAGCAAATTCAGTCTCAGATCCTATGTCTTTTCCTCGACCCTTGAAACTGAAAAGACTTGTCCTGCTGCTTCGCCTTGGAGAGAACAAGGAGCCACGGATGCTGAGTGGTGACTGCGGAAAAAGTAAAAGGTGACAGGTGTCTACTGGAGCCCTACACATAACAGTGCACTTCACAAGACTGGCCTGAGGGCAGGTAGGTGACTCTCTGCAGGTCTCAAAGACACATATTTAAGAGCAAAACAAGTCAGCAAGAAGACAAATTCTCCCAAATAAAGAATGAAATAACTTGAAGGATTCATTCTTCTAGACCAGGTAAATTATTTGGCAGATCTTTACTATTATGTTCCACAGTGACTGAGCCACACTTTATTTTGCTATATAGCCAATGCACTTCAAAATTTGGTATCAATACCTGTTGTTTAGCTTTTCTGTCTCTAAGTTCCACAACAAATTAAAACTTTCTCAAATTCAAATGCTTTTTTGTATTATATTGCTTGAAATTCCTCTTTACATGCTGAAAGCTAAATTAGGGTATGTTTTGGAGGATCTTTTTAGTAACAGGGAATTTAGGAAGTCATGAAATATTGGAACGTGGAAAACAAGCTGTGCACTACCAAACAAGGGGGAAAGTCATGTTAATACAACTCATATCCAGGACAAATTGTTCCCATAAGCCAATACCTAATGAAAATTCTTTGGACATATCATGTTCAAAAACCACCAGCACTTACTATGTAAAGGACACAGTAACAGGCATTATAAACAAGGGCAAATGAGTATGAGAAACTCTTTGCTTTAAAACTACTTTGGACTTCTGTAGTCCTATGTCTTGTATTGCTACTATTTGGGATCCTGTTCTTGGTCACCATCTAAATTATGAAGTCTTTGAAGGCAGGGGCTCCCTCTCTGGCAAAGATGTGCAGACTTAAATAGTAGAAGCTAGAAATGCTGAATGAAAGTAAAGATGAAAAGGGTAGCAATTCTGGGTGAGGCATTAAAGAGCAATTATGGGGACAGGGAGAGGGCCAAGGATATTTGTAGGATGAGGGGCATTTTAGCTAGTAGGTAAAAAGTGAGTAATGTTATGCCAGGAAAAAATGACAAAGCATATGACTTCAGTTGGAGGAAACTATGTGCATTAAGTAATAAAAGCCTGAAAGTCCAAAACCTGTAGGTAAGAGTGAACACTCCAATTTGATGAACTGAGGGTGAAGAAGGTAGAGAGAGGTGGGAGACAAAGCCAAAGAGAATTTCTGACATGGGTGAGGTGTGGGTCTTGTTCTATAGTCAGTGTTATTCAACAGAATGTTTTGTTTCTTTTGTTTTTTTTAACTGGACTGAAGGACAACTAGATTTTTGTTGTAGAAAAATGGCTTTGGAGGTTGTGTTTTAAAAGGAAATGTTAAGGAGGACAGAAGCAATGGTTCACCTTGGGGTATGTATACAACCATAGGCAAGAGGTGCCTGATATCTGAAGTTTTCAGTGGAAAAAAGGAAGGGAAAGAGAAATCACACAAGCAGAATGAACAAGGCTAGGAGACTACAAAGCAGAAGTTAATTCAGTTGGAGGTAGGCGATACCAAAGGTGTCTACAAAGTTCCACCTTGGATGCCTGGTGTTCTGGGGGATATCCTTATCTACAGTGGTAAAGAAAGAAGCAAAAGTAGATTGAGACTGCTTTTTAAACCAGTGTTTAAGAATACAGACTAATTATAGCTATGAAAGGTAACCTATCACATAAACAGTATGTTCATCTCTAAAATGATTCTTAGGAATAGTTTGTTCTAGGAAATGTGATTATTGAAGACTATTGAAGACGGTATGACAATTCCAAAACTGTAAGCTCCTCCAAAATTGAAGTCAATGGGAAATCTGAATATATCTTTCCTTTTTTCCATAAATGCCCAGAAATAGATGTTTTATGTACACATAACAATGAACACTCACATTTCTCTGCTGAAGCCCCTTACCGCAGCTAGCATACTGAGCTCTTTCCTGCCAGCAGTTTGCAGTACCTGATTAGGGGTGGAGAGTCTCTTCTCGCGAGCCTGTCTAGGCCCTTCAACACCGAGGAAGAAGCTTTTCCTTCGGACGCTCCCATCTGATTCTGACTTGGACAATTTTTCATCATCTCTCTTTTCCTCTCCACTGGAAAGTTTCTTTTGATTCTTTTTCTTTCTTCTGTTTCTTCTTTCTTTAGCACTTTTTGAGCTCAGTTTGGATGTTTCCGAAGAGCTTTCTGAGAGGCCCATAATTTGGCTTCGTCCAATACTTGTATATTCAGCTGCTGCCACTGCTATTGCCTGTTCAGCCAAAACATTGCACATCATAACTCACTTGCAAATTGTGGGAAAGCCTATCACAGGTACCTACCTCGCACTCATTCAATTACATTGTGCATGTGATCATACCCTTTATACATGAAGTGATACAATATTCTTTGCAGAAAGCTTACACAGAATATATTTGCCGCTTTTTCCACACTGCAATAAAGCTAAACTATACTTGGGAATTGAACTCTTCTATGTCACTAATTTGCTTAGAGTAAAGCAGATGTAAGTATTCTATGTTAAAGGTTTACCAGGTAGCTTTGGGACATAAAACTCATAGAAACTGTGTAATAGATAATGGTTTTCTATATTAGATAATTAACTCAATCTTATCAATAGAATCAGACCACTCACAGTTTAATGAGATAGAATTATCTGAAAAATCAAATGAATTATTTGAAAATAATGGTATCTAGAGAAAATTGTAAGGTCAATGGTTATTTTCTTAAAGACCTCTAAGGGTTTCTGCTTTGTATCTGGCATAATGTAATGCTCATATCACCACTTTATGAACATTAAAAAAATAAAAACTAGACAATTCTTGCAAAAATTTGGGAAATAAGATGTAAATGAAAAGCAAAAAAGAACTTATATCCTACCCCCACCAAATAAATGGTGTTAATATGCCTTTCACCCTTTTTATATGTGTATATAATTTTTATTTATTTTTTATCTTTTAACTTAATTTTATTGGCACATTTTAGATATACAATATAATGACATTAATCATTGGAAATTTGTACCTTTACATAATCTATCTTGGTTTTATTTTTTTCCCTATTCCCTTGCCCTCCCTTCAACCCCTCCACCCCTCCCTATTTACAAAGACTTTGTTTCCATTTTTTTTCATTTTGTCATATTAATTCCATTCCCTTCTTTCCTTTCCCATAACCCTCCCACTTCCCATTCCCCTTTGCCCCTTTTCTTCCTATTTCACATTATCTATTATACCTTTCAGTCCTTCATTTATAGATAAATGGATACATATTGAGGTGATACTCAAGTGAAATAAATAGGACACACGTGTAAATAACAAGCAGTTTCTCTGGTGTGAGAAACAAAGTGTAAATAAGGACTATAATTTTTAAATTGGGATTATATCCAATGTATTTAATCCACTATAATTAACAGCTTTTTCCTCAAGATATATAATGTTCTTAAAACACATAATACCATAGCTCATAAATAATTTAAGCTGGAAAAATATCATAATCCTCTTAACCATTTTCTAATTTTTCAAAATATGTTTTCTGATTTTTAGATGTATTAAAGTGCTGTGCTGCATACATTAGTGCATCAAAGTTTCTCTACATCACAGATTATCCCTCTGTATGAATGACATTATATCCGCTGAAGAGCATAAGATCAACTCAGCAAAGAAGTTTTAAGACTCTTGCAGTACATCTGAAGTTTTTCTTTATGTTTTTCTTTGTACACACCTCAAGCTTTTCTATTGAACTACACCTTAGAGCATTAAGAGGAACCTTCAAGGATCTGTGACTTAGGTTTAAGCAGCTACCATCATTAATGATTTTTTTTAAATTTCAGATTTTACCTTAAAAATGTTTGTAACATTGACAAAAATTGATGCATATTTCATTTTACTTCATAGACTATGTGTTTTTGCCTAAATGGTCTTTACAAATGTTACACGTGTGCATGATCCCGTACATATTTAAGCTCCGTTAGTAATAGCTTTAGAAGCAACAGACTTGGAGCATCTTGTTTGGGGAGTTGACTATGGGAAAGATGTCAATGTAGCCAAGTCCAGAGCTGGTTCCTTCTATCACACTAGAAATGAGGACACAGTTTATATATAAAAAATTAAGGAAAATCTACTTGAGGGAGGCTGAACATAGACCACAGGGCCTCTGTCATTACTCTTTGCATTTCTACTTCTAGGAAAGTTTTTAAAGCAAATAACCATACCTCAGCTTCTTCTTGCTCTCTTTTGAGTTGATCTAACATCTGTTGAAATTCTAACTCCTTCTGTTTAGCTTCTTCAATGTTTGCCTGGTTCTGTTCTTCATAGGCCATGGCAACCACAGCCAGAATCAAGTTTATTAGATAAAAGGAACCCAGGAAAATCACCACTACAAAGAAGATCATGTAGGTTTTGCCAGCAGCTCGCAGTGTCTAGGGAAAAATGGAGATTGTTGTTTTAATAACACAGTTTTCTAAAGTAAATTATTTCAATGTGAATGGTATATTGGGCATGGGTAATTTCGTATAATCTCATAAAAATGTAAAAGAATAAAATGATATTTTCATGGAAAAGGATCAGTATTAAAACAAACATTCTTGGGCCCAGATTTTAGCTCCATGGCACCAAGCCTGCCTCACAAGTATAAGGTCCTGAGTTCGATCCCTGGTACAAACAAATAAACAAACAAACAAAAAACAGCCTGAAAACAAACATTCTTAATATAAAGGACATAGCAACTTGATAGACCTTTACTAAAGTTAGGTGTGATTCATAGTTATTATTAAGTATAATAATATAATAACCCTGTATTTTTGTTTTTTGAGGTCTGAAATTACTAAGAAAACTAGCTCCTAGCCTCACTTTTAAATTTAGGAACAGGTAATGTTTATAGCCCTTTTTCCTCTTATCTTAATTTTTAACATAAAACATTAATGATAATGTGTAATATCAACATAAGATTATAGTCTAAATGAATTATCTGTTTATCTCATAGGTATTTATTTTTAACATGCTTGACAGTTTTAAAATGTAGCATGCTTTCCATCATTCATTTAATTTTTAAGTTAATTCAAATGCATACAAAGAAATTAAATAAAAATGTCGAGAGGAGCAGTCATGTTGGAGAGACTCAGGGAAGATCAACATGCAGATCAAACAAAACATCTGGAGAGTAGTTTAAACGAGAAGTGGTGGCCAGGGCCAGTCCACAGGGCTCACACTCTGGCCCATCCCAGGAACTTCCCAAATAGCCGGTGGGAACCAACGAGCCCTGCAGAGAATGGTCCCTGAGGACAGACACTAGATATACATCAGACCCATCATCCCCTCTCCAAACACCGAGTGAGTAAGCTGCCACCTTGCAGCATCCCTGCCAGTGCCCATCAAGGGCAGGGGAGTTCCCTTCCCTCCCTCCTGACCTCAGGCAGTGAGAGAATGGTGACTGCCAAGTCCACCCAGCTGATTCTTCCTGAAGTCACCATCTAATACCTGGCATCAGGACTGGGCCATTTATGTAGCAACTCAGGGCTCTGGGCATGGTCAAGTCGCCACCGGGTGCCCCGAGTTAGTTCCATGCCGTCCAGGATCTCTGTCTGGCCCACAGAGCTAACAAACCCATCTGAGTCTGTGCTGTTTTATTTACTAAGTAAATAGAAAAAATAGGACAAAGGGAAAATGTGGCAATTCTGAGAAAAGAATTCATTATTTATCATAAAGAATTCTCGTTTCAGTCTCTTTTCTGTTGGGATTGGGTACTGAGAATGTGCACGAAAAACAGAGCCCCTGGCTTCAGAAGGTTCACATTCAAGTTAGAGACAAACAAGTGAATAAACAACTACAGTAAAAGAGATCAATTCAATGAATTGAATTCACAAAGTGTATGGAAGGCTAGATAAGGAAGCAATTGACCTAGGAGAGGAGAGTTTAGAGAAATGAATTGACTCTTTCCCTGTGAGTAAGAGTTCAAAATAAACCATGGTGGTAATGTAAGCATAGGAGAGCCTCATGGGTTCAAGACAGCCCAACCAAGAATGTGAGGAAAGTGGTACCTGTGCAGGCTGGAGAGAACATTGTAGCATGTTTTCTGTGATTTTCCAAGGGTCACGTGGATTGAGGTATTGAGGAAAGGGAATGATCTAAAGATAAATGTCCCCAGAAAGGGCAAGAAAATCATTTATGACTCAAGAACTACCTGCACTAATGGTGCTGGGGTAAAACATTTCCAATTTTAGTAACAAATGGCAGAGTTTCCTCTAGTCTCAAAAGAATATTTAAAACCACATATTAAAAAGCTGGCAAAGGAAAAACACTACATTTTTATGTCACTCAAAACTTCATGTTTCTTTTAGCACTCACCTGTTGGTAAAGGTTTTCCCAGTAATCTTGTGTCATGAGCCTGAACAAGGCTAAAAAGGCCCAGCTGAAAGTGTCAAAGCTGGTGTAGCCATAATCTGGGTTTCGGCCAAGCTTCACACATTTGTACCCTTCTGGACACTGGCTACAAAGGAAAAGGAACGTTACAGGTTAGAGTGTCTGCAAGACATAAGTAAGGAGCAGTATAAAAAAAGCTACAAATTTAAGGTCTCTTAAATAGGGAAAAATATTGAACAATAATTAAGTGTTCATGATTTGCAGTGAGGAAGAACTGGGTTTAAATCTGATCCTATGATTTACTTGTTTTACAACCTTGTGAAATTATTTAAATTTTTAAAGATATAGTTCTCTCTGTGAGAGCAGGATGAAAACATTTAACCTCAAGAGGATAAGATTGTTATTACATTTAAATAAGATAATGTGTGCAGATTCTTTTATCTACCTACTGCATATGTGAAACATTTAATAGAGATACTCTACACAGGAGGGAGAAAAAATGCTGTGCTGCAAAATGAAGTTGGTGTGCAAGAGAACCAGTAAGGTGGATCACATGGACATGAGTCATGATAAATGATCCTTTTGCATAGCATGGCCAAAACGTTATACTCAGTTACCCAAGAGTCATATTTACTGGAGAATGCATAGAACTTTGAGATGAAGAAAAATTCATTCTGTTACTCTTCTTCCCAGAAAGAAGAAAGGCCTGAAACTGTCTGACCAACTTTTGATGGGGTTATATGGAAATAATTTTTTTTCTCTTTGTGAGATTTACAAGACTCATAGCCTTTTAAAATTCAAGCAGTACCCTAAACTCTAGCTTTCAAGGGTCTGCATTAACTGTAAACATTTTGAAGTCTGGTTTCACTGTGGGATGCATTCAGTAAAATAATGCCATAAAATGTATAAAAACAATATGGAATCGAGGATTCTGATCAGCAAACTGATTAAGCATGATTTTTCCTTCTTTTGCAGCATTTAGAAGAAAAACAAAACAGGCATTACGTACCCTGAATCTGTGCTGAAACCACAAAGGAGAGCATCTTTGGATCCCTCCAAGTAATAAACATATTCTGTTCCGGAAGAATTTGAACAACATAACGTTATAGTGCAAACTAGAAGAGTGATACAGCAAGTAAGTCAATAGATACCGACATACATATATGTATCTGTGTGATCTAAATCAAAGAATATCCATTCATTTATTGTACTTTCATATATGCCCCTCCAATATTCATTGATAACCTCTTATGGGCCAGGCAGTGGATATGATGATAAACATGATAAACAAGGTAGCTATCCAGAGAGCTTGGTGAAGGGCATTTGGGAAGAGGAAGAGCAAGAGCAAATGCTCTACAGCAGAGCTGAAGTTGGTGTATGGGAGAACAAGAAAGACAGCAGCATAGCAACGGAGTGATGAGTGTGACGGCAGTGGTATGCAAGGGCCAGATCATGTAGTGTTTTTCATATCACGAGAAGAACTTTGGATATTAAGTATAATTGAAAATAATGGAAGTGGACAGTAGAGACATCAGACATCATGAGTATTTTTAAATGTTACAGTAGTTGCTTTGTGCAGTAAATTACAGAAGCACAAGTTCAGAAACAAGATCAACTAAGTGAACTCTAATGGGCACTAGGTTTCTTTTGAGGGAGAAGAAAATACTTTGAATTAGATAATGATGATTATTGTGCAACTCTGAATATGGTGAAGTATTTTTAAAATGGGACTCTTTTGGCACATGGATTATTTTTTCAATAAATCTATTTCAAAAAGACAATTCAGTATAATAACAAGGATTGTGGGTAGTGGTGGGATAACTTCCCAGCAAAATCCATATAGGGAAAAATAAAAAATTGTGAAAATTGATATAACAAAAATCTAGAGTTAATATTCATTCTAGTAGAGATCATAGGGGAATGTTTTATTAATTTTGAGATCAGTAGAGCAAAATATTAAAATATAATTCTTGAGTAGGTCTATGTGCCCTCACTCAGAAAGACTACTTGTAGCAAATGCACATGGCTTCGGCCTGTGGAGGAGGAGAGTCTGTTACCTAAGCAAATGGGATAAAATAACTCTTGTGAAACTAGTGTTGGGGATCAGATTGGGGGGCAGAGTACCTGCAAGTGATACACTACAATCTGCAAGATATAGTCCCAGCAAACAAAAGAACTGTAGATGGGGAAAAGCCTTGGTAGAAGTAAAGAGCAATACTGTGGCTTGTCCACAAAACTTCTCTATTAAATATGAAACATTCAGAAAATAGGAGCAAAGGAGCATTTTACCTCAGCCCAATGGAATTATATTATACTGATGTACATTAGTTACTGGAAATTTAGCTACAAACCACATGAACCTTACTTTCATCTATAGCAAAAACAAAGGGTGTCTAAATGAGCATAGAGCAGATACCAAGTAATTTCAAGAAAAATCTATAAATTGTGTAATTTTAACAGAAGGCTACACAGTGAATTGTTTTATTTGATAGTAAATTTTGAAAAACACCTCTGAAAAGGTTATGCGAACAAGAACACACTTGAGATGTTGCTCAGCTTTCTTTGCAGGTTGTTTTTATCATAATTCTTTGATGTCTCAGGAACGCCCGGGCACTGAACTCATCAATTCCCATGATATATCAACCAACACTTGAGTTCACTTCTTTGTCCAGCTTAAATCCATTGGTATAACTCATCATCCCCCCAACCTATGCATATTCTAGGACCTATCTTTTCCATGCTTGTTTCCAAGTAGCTAAATATTGGTGGAGAAATCCTCACAACCAAGAGACTTGCTACGTTTTAATTAAATTAAATTCAATATTAAATAGGCATTCAAAATAAATTTTATTTCTCATTCTCTAAATAAATAGAATTTCTCATTCTCTACCATGATTATGTACTGCAAACCTTCTATAGAATTTTTCCTTCCTGTTGCAATCTCAGCCAATGATTCCATCTTATTCTTCTCTGGGAAAATAAAAGGCGCTGGGTTTGAATTGAATCACCTTTAAATAACTCTGCAGCCTGCCCCTTCTCCATCTTTCTTCCTACCTCAGTAAAAATGTCTCTCCTTTCTCATTTTTCACTATCTCAAGAGACTAACTTCTTCCTGACTCCCTCCAATTATTCCATATATTACCTTCCTACCTGTGCACTTCTATCAATAGAAGGGAAAAAAAAAACTATGAAAATATATTTAAAAGAATTCTAACCATTGTCACATTATTCTGATTCCCTTCACACTAGAATTTCTTGGAAGAAGTTTTGCACATACTATTTCTTCCTCTTTTGACTTCTTATTCACCTGTGTAACTGCCTTAGCTTGATCTTGTGCCTTACTAGTCCAAACTTTTCTAAAGAACATCTCTTAGAACTTTCATATTACTCAAGAATAATGGATACTTTCCTATTTTCGCTCCTAGTTTTTGATTTTGCAGTATCATTGTACACAAATACTCCCTTTTCAACATATACTTTATTCTCTTGACTTTACTATTTATATTTTTGTTTTCTTCTTCCTTTATTGACTATTTTCTCTTTTGTGTCCCTTCCTAGGTCCTCTTTTTTACTTGAATCCTAAACACTAGAGTTGTGGAGTTGATCATGTTCTAAATATTAGAGTATTTTAAAACACCACTTTGCCTATCATTTTCATGCCTATAAGTATCAAGTAGGTTCAAAAAGATATTTATCTCTCCCTGTGTATCCTTTCTTTTTACTAATCACTTTGGAATTTATATCACAAAACCAGGCAATTCCTCTGATCTATACACTTAAATCTCCCACCATGTACTTTACATTTCCCTTTGGACATCTCAAAGATGTTTGAAGTTTACGTGACTAATAGCAACTTTCTCCCCAAAACTTGACCACCTTTTCCTCACTAACAACTGCTACCTATCCAATTACTTTGGCTAGAAATTGAGATGTTACCTTCTGGTTTGTCACACTAACAAATCGCACTAGGAGAAAATATTGGGTTCTAGAAATTATGGTTCAGAGATTTGCCACTCTACATAATTGCTGGTATGAGAGACAATTCACCTTTGCTTATTTCCTAATGCTGACTAGAAGTTAAGGTCATTAATAGTTAAGAATTCAAAAAATAATGTATGTAACTAAAATTACTAGAAATTATAAAAAAAACTCTATATTCAATATATTAGAAAGGTAAGATGCGTTTTTTGGTAAGAAAAAGCTATGAAGTATGAAGATGTTTAGTTTTATACAAGTACCTCGCGCTAACCGATTGCGACACTGGAGCTCCTAAGATGTTTAGTTTTAAAAAGGGAATGACAACATAATCTTTGCACCAAAGCAAGAATGTCTAGTTGTTTCAAAATGAGAAAATAGAACTATATAGGACAAACAATTGAAGGATTCTAAGAGTCATATTAGTTCCTTGGGAAATGAACCTTGGGAAGGAAATTTTATGTATGATCAAGGTGGCTATGATTAAAAGGAGTTGTTTACAAGTTTTAAAAAATTGCATTAATGTCAAAAGTACACTAGTAAAAAGCTAGAATTTGGTCTTCTTTACAACAACAACAACTAGATTTTCTTCCAGTTTTAGTTTGGCCTTAATAAAAAATTATGAACATTTTTACTTTTTTAGGTAATTTCTTAAGAAACAAAAATTCTGTTCTACCAAAATCATTTCCAGTGCTTCCTGTTGTCTTTATTAAGATTTTTATGGCTTCAGAAAATTGAGTTATTTGATTAAAAGAGCTATGTTTTTACTACAACTATTTAACATTTTTGCATGTGCCTTTGATGTCTTTATCACTTTTTAAAGAAATTGCTACTATTCAAGTGACTTGTGATTCTATTTTGATTGAATATTTTAAACCTTGTGATATTTTTTATAAAACTCAAAAAATCAGATTTTAGATTAAGAATTTTTATTGATCTCAAAGTAATTTTTTTTTTTTTTTTGTTTTTTGGTACTGTAGATTGGACTCGGAACCTTGTGCTTTCAAGGAAGGAGGCAGGACCACTGAGCTAAACCCCCAGCCCCGTAATTTTGAAAGTTTTCAGATGTGTCTACAAAGGATCTCTTTAAAGAAAGAAATATTTTAACCTAATTTGGCTTGGTATATAAAATTATATAAGAAGCACTGTCAGATAATAATGCAAAAGCTTCTTTGAGTTACACTTCTAGAGATGTGTTATTAATATGCATTACAGAATATGAATGAAATTTCTAGAAATCTGAGCATTCTCAGGTGATTAACTGGACTAGGTAAGATTTCAAATTCTAATGATGAAATTGATTTGTTTCATAAAACTGATAATCCTACATCAAATAGAACAAGAATGAATTAAATACCAAAGAAATATTTTAGCAGATTTTTTATGCTAAATCAGCTACTACTGAAATTGTTATGATACATAATTTGATTTGAGTTGTGTGGGGGACCACCGTTTTGATTATGCTCAAAGCAGGCTGTAAGCAATGCAGACTGTAAAGAGTTAACTCCAGGATTGTCTTGTTTTGAGAAGCAAGTGTGGCTGAAGCCCACATGACGAGGACAGAGTGACTCTTACCCAAATTCTGTTCCCAGAATTAAAACCTTTACTAAAAAGACAAGGTGAATTATTAACCACACCTATATTTTGTCTGTTCTGGTCCTAATTCAAGAATGCTTTGAACATGGTCAAGCAAAGCTGTGACCTATCCTGATGGCTGACACTGACAGAGAAGCAGAGAAGCTCTATGCATGGTTCCAAAGTAATGCCTGAGGAGACTTAACTGACCTTGATAGACAGCAAGAGGTTGATTTTGATTGGCACAGGTCTCACTTTAACTTGGTCTTAAACACCCAGCAGAAAAGAATAACCAAAAGAAGTATAAAAATAATGGCATAGTAATAAAGCTAAATATTAAAAAGGGCTCCAATCATTGACCCCTTCTGGCAGTTTCCAGCTATACCAGTAGCTGATCATGGTTATGGATCACTAGGAAAAAACTACAGTAAAATCTATAAGAGTTCAGCTAGAGTTTTAAATTTCTTATCTAAATTTGTCCTTCAAATTGTCTCTATTTTCTTATAGCTAAAACTGGAAAGACTTATGACAAAATATCAGACTTACAGATAACTTCCACAAATAAAAAAGTCTAAGACAATCACTCACTATTTCAGTTTCTAAATGTGACTCTTTCTTGAACCTGCCTTTCCAGTCAAGTGCTCAAGCTTAGATTATACATCCTCAAATTTCTTAAAAATTTTGTTTGTTCTTGCCTAGAGGCTGCCAAACTCCAAGCAGTCATAAAAATGAAACCAATGACAAATGTGCTAGACTTACCAGGATCCACCAGATCGACCTTGTAAACAGCTCATAACTAACTGCTAAATTACAGTGGGACTTCTATGTCAGATTCTGAAGTCTCTTGGACCTTCTCTTTGTGGGAGGCCATTACTAGTTCTTCCCAGTGGAAACCCTTGTTGGCTATATTCATAGCAATCCTGCTGGTTCCTTATTTGGTTCATGTATTCTTAACTGTTTCTTTCACTTCGTCTCCTCCAGACTCAAAGTTATACACTTCCCCAAGATGACAATGCCTGGTGCCTACTGAGAGCCTTTAAATAGGCCCTCTGTAGATTAACTCTGACTGCTGATCACAACTACCACCCTCTCAGCTGGAAGTAGCCAGAACAGTCTTTGCCCTTTGCCCCCTCACAACACTTAGGGGTACTTCTTTCAGAGGGGGCAATATTGTAGATAGGTAAGCTAATTAGATATCTTGTAGGCAGTTAGACAAGACTGGCCCTTGAGGAGCCAACATGGAGGACAGTCAAGCCAACATGGAGGACAATTGGAACACATGCACTGAAAGCCATCAGTGTAAAAGCTGAGAAACTACTATACCTACATAGCATGAATAGCGGTGATTGATATTCTAAATAGGTATCAATCACCTGGGTGAGGGACCAAGATCTTCTAAGAAAGATCCCTAACACACCCCTTACCACCAAAAATCTTTGCTCATTCCTTGTATGCTTGCTACGTGACTTGCTTCCCCATTGGATCCCCATTTAATCAATATTACCTAAGTGACTATACTTATAATCTCATTGGGTGTTCATAGTTTTGTCCACCTTGTGATTTCTCATTGGATCAGTATTACCTAAGCAACCGTACTTGCCGTCTTACTAGTTGACTATAGTTTTGTCCCACCTTGAATCCGCCTCATCTTGTAGCTTTGTCGCATAAAACAGCTTTGAGAAGTTGAGTGAGTGGGCAACCCACTTTCCGGTTCCCCTTCTGTCTCTCTTAGACAGAAGCTATATTGCTCTCAATAAATTTTTCCTACTCTTTAAAAAAAAAAAAGAAATGCTTTGTATTTTCCTTTACAAGCCTTGCCTGTATCAATGAAGTGTCCATAGCAACTACATGTCTTCTGATGTAGCCCCTTTACCTAAACCTAACTATGATGTCACCAATAAATACTGACAGTTCTGGGTGTTCAAGGCCTTTGCTTCTTCAGCCTTGCATGTGTGAGGATTGGTCATCCTGGCCCCCTGTATCTCTATCTCTTCAACTCTGTCTCTAACACTTTCTTCTTACCATGCAACGTAGTACTGAGCAGGAAATTTGAACCTGCTAAAGGGGTCTCTGATAGCGTTGTTACTTATGATAACTTATTTATCAATTGGTGCTTTGTAACTGATTAGGAGAAACAAGAGTAATATTTTAAATGACATAAATCTTACAACTGTAGACTCACAGAATATCTAGATAGATGCTTGATCCTGAATCCTTAAAGTTTCTATTCTGAATTCTATGATTCATCATGGAATAGATAAAATGATAAAAAAATATGAAAAAAATTGCTGAAGTGACTGTTGTAATATTGTTAAAATGGTTTCACAGCCAAAGTTTAGTTTGTCAAACCTATAAATCTTACAATTAAAAAAATCTGTTTCAAACATTTACTACTGCAGCTGACTCTTCTGCAGAAGCTATAGATTCCCAGAAAGCTTTAAATTCTCTTACCAAAAATTTAATAAGAAAACCAAAGGAAAGATGATCTGACATTCATAAACAAATTTATAGCCCTAATCACTTAACTGCTGATGGCCTCCAACCACACAATGTCAATAATGGATCCTTTGATAAATATCACTTGTTCCTGCCTACTGGTGACTTCTAAGGCACAAAGCATCTCACGGTGAGCAGTCTGTGTGGTCCTTCAGGAGATATTTTTTTCTAAAATTAAAAATATAATGATCCTTTAACCATATATGTCAGAAACTTTCTTTTAATGAATGGAAAATAAGAAACCAGTGAGAATTCTGAATTCTATTGACACCACTGTCAATCTATAACTAACTGGAAACTAACTGATAAATGTATCTGGTATGGTAAAAACTCAATTGTAAGAAATCCACAAGCTACTTAAAGTGAGTAGATTTCTCTGCTAGGTCATTTTTGATCCATTCTGTTTGTGAGAGGTTCCTGTTACAGAGTATATACTTCAGAATCTTAGTATTATCTTCCCAGTATCTCTCATAATACTCTTCCTTAAGCACTATTTCCTCTCAATAACCATAAATACTCATATACAGCAATCAGTTATAGTATATCAAATAAACTCACTGCAGTTAAAATGCTGAAAATCATTTTCAGAGAAAATAAAGAAACATTCGGTTGACCAAATGTTGAGAACTGTGGATTCTATACTGACCAAACAAATTCATTATGATAGTAACTGAGAGTCATCATGTCCACAGTTTCTATCTATCACTCAAAACTGAGTGGATGATCAAAAGGAGGGAATTGTTAAATTAAATGTGGCCTAAACCTGTCTCCATACATAGGGAAGTACAATTTCACTTAGTACGCATGTAAACAAACTATAACTTAAGAGTATATTCTTGTAACCAATAGCTGAGCCTCAATCAATCACAGTACCTGGGTTTCAGCCAGTCTCAGGCTACCAACTGACCAGATCATGTCTATAAGGCAAATGCTGAGTTATAACCAATGAAGCCATTTCTATATGTTAATTCTTTTTTCTTTCTATAAATATTTCTTGCCTTCATTGCTGGGTGCAGCTCTCTGAACTTCTGGTTGTAAATGCTGATCTATGAGCCATTCTTTGCTCAAATAAATTTGACTAATTTAATTTGTCTAAAGTTTTTCTTTTAACAAAGGGTTTTTTTTTAACAAATGCAAGAACAAGATCAAGACTTAGAATAAAAGCAATGATAATGATACTAGTGGGAAAAAGTTAAACTGGCTGAGTATGATGTTTACACACCTGTAATACCAGATATTTAGGAAGCTAAGGGAAGAAGGTCCCAAGTTTTAGGACAGCCTCAGCAACTTAGGGAGACCCAATCTAAAAATAAAGCAACAATGAATAGGGACATAACTCAATTGTACAGTGGTTGCCTAGTAAGCATGAGGCCTGAGTTTAACCCCTAGTACCCACTAAATGAGTTAAATTTAAATAATTGTTATAAATCAATTCACAAAATAGAATGTAAATATGGACAACTATCAGATAATTTTACATCATATAAACTAAGAAAGTAAATTCTCTGGAAGTTGAAAATAGAATTTAAGATCATGTTCATAAAAATCAGAAATGAGAAAAGTAGACAAAGATAAAAAAAGAGAAATGCTAAATCCCTAGCCAATGATGGTAATAAAAAAACATATATTAAATATTTTACTTGAAAAGATTTAGTTTTCTTGTTTTAAGCTCCTATTCCTTTTTGCCTTCTTTCTTTCCAGCCTTTCAGTAATTTGGCAGAGTTTTATTTGTTTTTGTTTTACCTAAAGAGTATGAAAGGATACTTCTCAAAAAATAAAAATATATGTACTATTTATTATCTAAGGAGAATCCTGGCCTTTGCACCCTGATCTTCTTTTGGCAAAGCCATATATATGGAATTTGAAAGGAGTCTTAATTTCCACCTCACCCCAGGATTGAATTCGTTACTAAGGCTTATGTGTTCATTTGGGAAACAGTATACAGACAAATCCAAGGTAATAAACAGATTTTGAACTCATTTTCACCTAATATTCACTATCAGCTCCTATTAAAGACACTGCACTTAGGGATAACTGTTTAGAGTACATGTAGCTCATGCTTTATATAAGATACTAGAAAGTATCCTTCTGAACTCTGTGCCGATCAACCTCTGTTGTACCTACAGAACTAGGAGTACTGACTTTAACTTTGACCTAAGGTCATCAACCTGTATTGAAGGAATGCATTAAAAGAACTATAGAACTTATCATTGATGTAAGGACAGCACTGATAAAATGAAGTAAACTGTCTTGTTTTATACAAATCTAGAAATATTATTAATACCATAATTATATTATTAATTTTATAAGATGTTATAAATATGCCTAAGTATAAAAATATAATTATTTTTTCATAAAATAGTCACAGAATATATTTTATATATATTTTATACTAAACTATAAACTATGAAAAATATATCATAGTGAAATATAATGTTTAACATTATTAATACATAGCTACATTTATTTCCCTAGAACCACATAAATCTTTTTTTATTTTATAGAAATTGTGAACTTGTGACCATCTCATGTTCCTATTGCCACAAGTACTAGAAAGCTAAGACCAAAAATATTTGTAAAATCATTTATAACATGATATAAATCCACACTGTAGTAACTTTTTGTATATCTCAGTTGCTTTGAAACAATTAAAATCAATAAGCATTTTATTCTTAGACAAGAGCAATGCTATTAGCATTATTTCATCCTATTAAGAACTACAGGGGCATTCTTACTTTTCAAGTCTTCTTTATTCTCAAAGTTATCCAGCGCGCTGATAGCTGTTTCATTTTCTGCAAATTCAAGCTGCACACATTTGTGCCTGAGGTTGCCCATGAACAGCTGCAGCCCTATTAGTGCAAACACACTCAGACAGAACACAGTCAGGATCATGACATCAGACAGTTTCTTCACTGACTGGATGAGCGCCCCCACAATGGTCTTCAGGCCTGCAAATGGAGGAAAGAGGTGTGCATAATGATGTAAAGCCTCTGAATGAGATACAAAACAACACACAAGCTTTCCTAGAGATGCATGCATTATGTCAGTCAATGACCTAAAGTAATTTAACTCAAAAGAGCCTAGAAGTTGAAAAGGCTAAATTTGCCATTTAATATGCACAATGTTTTCATGTATTAAAGCAAATAATCAAAACTATAAAATGTTTCCAAGGATATTCAAGTTGTCAAATGAATAGTTTGGTTGCTAAAGCCATATTCATACTCATTTATAATTTTATAATTTCTAATTCAATAAATATTTGACTAACAAACCATCTTGCTATAATGGTACCAAAACAAATAAAAGCCTGAATTGCAGCACATAATGACAAATTATAATGGACTAATTTTCAATTAAGAAATAGTTTGTTGAGAGAGATTAAACAATATGTCATGCAATACCCCCATGCTGGTATTTCTTATTTATTTTCTTAAACATGTGAAGAACATCTAAAATTAGTTGAAATTTTCCTTCCTGGAGAAGCAGAGGTAAAATGAGCCCTTAGACAGGAGGGAAAATTTCAAGTGGAGATGTGAGCCAAGCGGTCATCTTCATCCTCAGAGATTCATGCAGCTGATTAAACTCAAAAGCTGACTTATAATAACAGTTATGAAAAAAAAAAGAATTAAATTCAATTAAAGTTGCTTGGATGATTTTCTTTATTGTCTTTCCTCCAAAAGATGAAAGTCAGCCCTTGTGTTTAACCCCGCTCTCACCTGGAATGACTGAAATAGTTTTCAGTGCTCGGAGAACTCTGAATGTTCTCAACGCTGAGACATTGCCCAGGTCCACAAACTCTGTCACATATCTGTAATGGGGGAGTTTATACACAAACACAGTGACAACACACACACAAACAAGGAACAACTCCCAAACAGTTGGAGTTATAAGTAGCCTAGTGCTCCACACCAATCACTTCTTACCTGGAATTACAGAAATAGTTTTCAAAGCTCTCAATACTCTGAAAGTTCGAAGAGCTGAAACATTGCCTAGGTTTACAAATTCTGTTAAATACCTGTAGAATTAAATCAGAGTTATTCAGAATTTAGATAGAGTCGATGATACTTACCTGTGCCTTTAGTCATGGTATTTTTTATGTTTGGAATGCTTTGTAAAATATATACTTTTGCAAGTCTTTTTCTATCATAATTAATTTATACTAATTTGCTTTGATTTGATGCAAAAATACATTAATATATTATTCATGCAGTTTATACACTCAAATGCTTAAATAAACAATTAAATGCTGTTATCAGTAGCCCTTCAGCGTTATGGTAATGTGGAATTTTAATCTCCTAAAAAACTCTGAAAATACTATGCTTCATGAAAGTAGCCAGACACACACAGAAAATCTTCATACTGCGTGATTTCACTCATATGAAACATCCAGAAGAGGCAAATCCATATGGGAAAAAAAGTAAATGAATAGTTTAGAAAGGGCTGAGAGAGGAGAAAAAGTTGAAGTGACTGAACATGGGTACCATAGCCTTCTTTTTAGGGTGATGAAAATGTCCTCAACTTAGATGACGGTGATGATTTTACAACTTTGAGAATATACTAAAATTTCATACTTTAAAAAGTTAAATGCTGGGCTGGGGATTTAGCTCAGTGGTTCCGCCACCTGCCTGGCAAGCGCAAGGGCCCAAATTCGATACCCGGTACCAAAAAAAAAGTTAAATGTCACAGTATGTGAAAAACAGAAAAAAAAGATCGATAAGAAATAAGAAGAGTAACCTATTTTAGCAGCATGTTTTCTTATCAGCAGGAAGAAAATAAACTACAGCATCATATGTGACTTACAGCATCATATGTGACTTAGAAACAGGGACCCCGATGAACAAGGAGGTGGTCAGGGGTGAGGAAATCAGAGACCAAAAGTCTTAAGAACCTTCTGAATTGTCTAAAGGGCTCCAATGAACATAGATTACTTTTATAATTCAAAATGATAAAAGGAAAATATTGTATCCGAGGGTAACATTAAAAATAAATAAATGTTTCTGACAAATACACTTGGGAAAAGAAAAACAATATGAATAAGTTAAATTTATATTTTAACGTAATTATTTTCCCTTGAAAAGAAGCTGTGGATGTCTATGCAATGTGCCCACAAGGCAATAGCATTAGATCTAGTAAGTAATGATAACTTCTGTAAAAATATCACCTTTATATTTTAGTATACTTATTAGCCCTTGAATAGTACAGGCAACAAAAAGAACACTGTACTTATAATTAAAGGCCTAAGGAATATTTTGTGTGTGGTATGTGTGGTTCTTAAAGATTTTTGAGTTTTTATGTAAGATCTTGGAAAAAGTGTGAACCTAATTAGCACCACATAGATAATCCATTCAAGTGCTGAACATGGGGGGAAGATAATCAGTCCTGATGTAACATCTTTCTGAAAAAATGCAATATTTGCCTATCAATGATCAGCTTTCATTTTTCTTCAAATTCAACCATTATATACAGAAAAGAATCAAACCCCAAGATTGTTTTTACTAGAATTCTGCGGTATCTGAGATTTTCATGAATTTCTATTTCAAAAACTGAATACTTACGCAAAAACAATCACGACAAAATCCAGCCAGTTCCATGGATCCCGAAGGAAAGTGAATTCTCCTACACAGAAGCCTCTTGCAAGGATTTTTATAAGTGATTCAAAAGTGTATATTCCAGTAAAAGTGTACCTGAACAGGAGATTTCATTGGGATATTAGATGTGAAAAGAATGCAGCCTCATGCCCATCATTATGACCTATTTTCTCTGAATACTGGAAGGTTGTGTTGGTAGTATTTGAACCCATATTTAACTTTATAATACAATAAAGGTCATTCTAGAAAAATCTTAAAATGTCTTATCAGGAACACCCCAGAAAGTAGCAGTACTTGAAATAAATAATATTATAGGTATTAAATCTTCCTAGAAAATTCTTAGATTATGTCTATCAAAAATATATACCAAAATAGGAGATCTGTAACATGCTTAAGAACAAGGCAAGGGGTCTGATGAATTTATTCTTCTAGAAAATATTGCAGTATCTAATTATTCTAAACTACTGCTAGTGATTTAATTCCATAGAGTAGAAAAAACTGAAAGAAAAGCAATTATACAACATGAGAAAATAAACAGCACAATTTTTATAGATGTCATTAACTTCCCAGTATGGATAGGAAAGGATGGAAATGATAATATAACTAATTTAAAATGTACTTATACCCACTTACTCTACATTTTTGGTCCATTCCGGAGGGCTACTCATGGTCATAAATATGCAGTTTGTCAGAATTGTGCACATGATAAGCATGCTGAACAAGGTGGTTTAGAATCAAGGAATATGATAAAGAGACCACAACAATAACTTCAAGTATTTGATAATGACACTTGTTGAAATGCTAACAACTTTTCCATAGAAAATAATCTAAATAGCTTCTAGATTACTTTTTTTCGCATTTTGAACAAAACATTAAAGTAATGCTTCCTAAAATTCCAATAATGTCATTCTGACAATCACCTGTGAGATTTACATCAATTTATGTTGAAATTGATAAACGACATCTGAGGTTGTTCAAAATGCAAAAGGACTAAAATGGATACTTGAAAACAGTAGCAAAAACAGTACTTTAAAACACCATTTCAAAAAGTACTTTGGAAAGGATATGAATGTACTAAAATCTTAATAGATATTCTTCTTAGAGGACTGAAAGGAGATAATATGTACAAAGCAGGTGTGGCATTGAAACGGAAGATTGCTTTCCCTTTGTTCAATACTATAAAAGTCTGTGGGAGATAAAAGAAAATAGTGCAAAGTTGAGAACCCAAAATTTCAGTCCAGCAAACCAAATATGCAGTTTACAACTCCACATGGTATTAAAGAAACATGGTCTAGGCAACGTGGTTCCTCCACCACCAGGCAGCTATCAATGCCAACTTGGCCAGTGAACGAAAGTGCATTTCTGTTCAATAAATTAGTGATTGAGCTACTTGTCAGCATGTATTGCTTAGAGCTTCACAATTTTCTTTTTCATATTTCTTCATCAGTAACAGTAACAATAATGTCTGAACACTGAAATTAGTTTAAAATACAGCTTCATGCTCTTCCATTATACTGCATTTTAAATCATTCAGATAAAAAGTAGCTATCTCTGATTTTTACCATTACATCTTGAGAATGTTAATACTTGCCAGTATTTGTCATAGTTAATAGCAAATAAGTTTTTCAAAAAATATTTTCATAGATTTAAAAAAAGTCAGATTTAGAATAGTTCTAATCACTAAGTTCAATTTCCTTATTTTAGTTGTAATACTAGTAATACTAAAATGATAAAAAAGAACTTTCTTACTACTATTCATGGTAATTTTTAAAATAGTTTGAGTACAATTAAGCATTCTTAATAGTTTATTGTGGCCATTTCATAATGAGTGACATTCTCTACCTTTGGTACTCAGTTAAGAAATCAAAACAAATAAACATATAGTAGCAAAAACAGAGCATTTAAAAAACTAAAAGCATTGGGTTGAAAATCAGAAAGACCAAGTTTAAACCCCTGTCAATTGGCAGGAAAATTACTTGTGTCACTTAGAAGGCACTGACTTAGTCTTTTTGTCATTTTGTTTAATCTTTGTTTTATAAAAGTTTGAGTCAGCTTCTGGAACTACCACTTCTTCCCAAATTTGGGGAATAAGTTCATGAATCTGGATTTTTACTTGTAGATAGCGATACTCAGGAAAACGAACCAGAATCTATTATTCCTGTTCCCTTGCACTACAAGAGTTATGTCTAAACAGAATTTGACATAAAATTTATTTTTACATTGAAAATTAGTTTTAAAATTAATGTCTAGCCCTTCGCTACAACTATTTTCTTCTTAAATCTCAATAAACTACATTTTTACAATTTCACTCATTAAGCCAGGCACAGTGGTGTACATCTGTAGGAGGTTGAGGCAGAAGTATAGGAGTTGTTTATGAAATTTAGTGGAATTTTGTCTCAAAAGAAAAAATAAAAAGGGCTGGGACAGCTCAGTGGCCCTGGGTTCAGTCCCCAGGACTGGAAAAAAAAAAAATTCATCAATTCCTTCTATAATGCTCTAACTATGTAGTGAGCAATTATGTCCCAAGTGGCAAGACTAAGCTGGCAAGAAAGCTACATTACTACTATGCAGGCTTGACAAATTCAAGTTACTTTGCACTTGAAATTTTAAAAAGAAAATAATTAGATATTTTAAAATTTGAATTAGCAATTTTGATGGGCTGGGGATTTAGCTCGGTGGTGCTGCTGCCTGCCTCGCAAGCACAAGGTCCTGAGTTCAATCCCCAGTACTAGAAAAAAAATTTTTTTTTTTATTCTCATTAAGAACTTTTCAGGAGTTTTCTAATTTTCACACACATAGAATTAATTACAAGCAAGGAAAAATTTTTTGGGTATCAGTGTAATCATAGCCATAACATTATGTAATCATATCCAGAACATTATATTGAACACTCTAAAAGAAATCAAATTAGTATGCCAATGTCACAAACCGTTTTAATGATAATGTAGCAAAAGTACATATTATGAATATCCTACAGATGTATTTAATTTAATGTTATGATCATGATGGGTTTTTCACTCCTTTCCACTTACTCTGTTTTGTGCAGAAGGAAACCAAAAGAAACATACCACAGAAGTCTCAAGAACTCACTTTTTTGTCTGCATAGTAGGGGTCCAGGTCCTCCAGGGCCTCTGACACCATGCCTGGAGGAATGTCTCCGTAGATGAAGGGCAACTGTTTGCCAGCTTCCAAGTCCCTGCTGGGCTTTGGGCCTTCTTCATCATCATCTTTCTTTTCTTCTTTGGGTTCCTGTGCTTTTCTTTCAGCAATACGCTGCTCAATGTGGGCAAGAGATTGTTTTGTGAAGCGGACAAAGCTCTGAGGTCCTGGGGGAGGCAATGTTGCCATCTTTTCATCCTGTATATTTTATCTCCTTTTCAGCTCCTTACATAAGAGGCCTGGGTAGGAAAAAAGAGAAAGATTTAAATGTGTGGCTAGCAGGGAAGACATCTTTAAAAAATAACAAAAGGCTGGAGGTGACACTGAAAGCTCAGTGGTAAAGAGCTAGCCTAGCATACCCACGTCTCTGGGTTTAATCCACAGTGCACAACAAACAACACAAACATAGTAATCCACAAGAGGTCATATGTTCATAGAATTATTATCAAATTGTTAAGTAAGTACTATGTGTCAGGCAATGTACAGGACTTACTTTCATGACCTGTAATCATCTTTACTTAAAATCTTGAACCTAATACATCACAGCTCTAAAGTTAAGAGAAAGAAAAAATGACAATTTCATGAAAAAAAATTTCTTTATTTACTTTACTTTTCACCTGAATTCATTTTTCATGATATTCAACTAAATCTTCTACTTTTAAAAGTCTTTATAACATTGCTTTTGGTAGCTACACTCCCCGGGTTATGTCCTCCTTTGCCTCTCTGATCACCAGACCATCCACTTTCTTACATTTTATGGCCATAGTCATACCCTCTACTTCTATTTCTTTCTCAAGAAAGCTCCTTCCTATGATATAAGATAATGGGAAATTATTTTGCACATATATTTTCTTTCAATAAATGAATATTCTTCCTAAAAATTAGAAAACTATATTTGTTTTGAATCAAAATAATTTGTGAAAATGTTTCAAGGAGAATGAAGAAAAGAAAATTAAGACTTTTGTGGTAGATTTAATATAAAAAAGAAAAAAAATCACTATTAAAAATTACTTTGATGTGCTTTCAGACTATACTGCCTTAACTGACTTACATGTACATGAAAAATTCAAAATTACAGGAAAAAAAAATTAGAAATTTGAATTTTTATGTTATTATTTTGGAATTTTTTAAATAATGAAAGTTATTGTTTTTAAAACAATAGGAATAATTTTGATAAGTCAAAGAAACTTTATAACACCTTCGTTAGAGAATAAAAAATTAGTTTTATTTTATTACAGTAAGTTTGCATGAGAGCTGGAAACACCAACTTCTCTAGGTCAATGCATTGTGAACATCATGATAGATTATATGTAGCATTAAGTGAGAGGATTTTTTCAGTTGTAAATATGAAAATAATATAGATTACAGTTACAGTAGGGGTTATATGATGCAAAAAGGGGGGGGTAATTGCTGAAATTATTCTTCCTTAGATTTCTCCAGTTCCAAAGTCAACATAAACTTCAATTAGAACAAAGTAGGTGCCTTTTCTCCTCAGTTATTTGGGTGTGATACAAGCATAAAACATTACCAGAAATCTATGTATCTTAAAAAGAGGTGGTCAAACACATTAAAAAGAAAAGACAAAATTTTTAAAATGCTATGTTTTAAAATTTAAAAAGCAAACTCAACATTTCTACAAAATGCTCTTTTAAGGTTTATAACATAATTCATATGCCATGGCACATTTCATCACATGTCCTTTTTAATCTGCTAACCCATCTTCATTTATATTACATGTTTTACCACGTACTTAATCTAGATTTGTTATGACATCCGAAATTTAAGGCTGTGAGACTAAGGAGAAAAATCATTGTCTTCAAAGAACTTGGTTGTAAAAAGGATGCCCATAACATTGAATCATACAGCAAACATAAATCTGGTTTCACACTGTGTTGAGGGAGAATACAGTTAGCATACACAGCCAACATTCTTTTTTTCTACCCTGATGTAGAAAGTGAGAGAGATATATAAGGATGTGTCTGGAGAGAGTATCATGGTAATAGGAGGTGGTGGTTCATTCTGGTTTCAGTATGAAGTTGGATATATTTCTGCTATAAATTTCCTAGAGTCTTCGTTTTCTCTATTCATCTGCAAAGATGGAGAACTAAAAGCCTTTGAGAGTAGATAAACAGCAAATTTTCAGAAAAGAGAATCTATTGAAAGCCATGCAATACCAAGTTTGGAAATACATATCTACTTATAAACTCAGAATTATGAAATTTTACAATTTTGAATAAAGAAGAATGAGGTCATTCTGCTTTATAAGAAGCTAATATTGCTTTTGAGCAGAATTTGAATAATTCATTGACTGTGTTTGCTGACTTGTGCATGATATTAAAATATTTTACTAACATTACTTCCTCCATTATATGTCTTTCAACACCAGTAATAAAAGACATATATATTTTGATAGAAACTAAAGGTAATTCTTAATAATGTAGTAAGGGCTTCAGATGTTGGCTCAGTGGTACAGCACTTGCTTAACATGTACAAGACTTAGGTTCAATCCTCAGCACTGCAAACACAGATAGACAGATAAATAGATGGACAGATAAATAGATAGATAGATAGATAGATAGATAGATAGATAGATAGATAGTGGATAGATGGAATGGACTGAAAAATAAAGGACATCATATATACACATCCAAAAAGTGGATAGAGTTAATGAGTATGGGATTTTTTGGATGGAAAATGTTTTCAAATTATGTAATGATAAGGCTTACATTGTATTAAAAACTGAATTATACAATTTAAAGTAGCAATTCCTGTTATGTGAATTATGCTTTAGTAAATGTGTTGTTAAAAAGCATTTTAAATACCATGAAATATGTTTAAACTTTCCTGAGAAAAGAAAGTTCAATAAAGTGGAAATAAAGCAACATTAACCACCTTTGGAGTTTCCACTGGCTTAGCATAAACATGGGATTGCTTTTGGTCTGAGATTAATTCAGAAAATATGTTTAAGTTCAGTCACTTAAAGGCTAGGCTTAGTTCAGTTTATAAAACTTTGGTCATACACCAGATGGCCTGATTCTAGAAACTCTGGCCTTTTAAAATTCATGTTAAATCAAGCTTAGAAATAAGACAAGTGTTTGCAATTGCCAGTTGTACTTTAGCGATTCCTTAACACTTTGGGAAATCATAAATACAAGGGATGGAGTTACCGGCCTCAGTAGACTTTCAGTGTAGATGTAGCTGGGCTGTTAAAGAAAAGATGGTTGAATAACTGGTGTTTCATATATTCTACATTCAACTGGCACATATCACCTCTTTCAAGAATTACTTGACAGATATCCAGGTAAACAGAATTCAGATGAACTAAGATGTCTATCACAAATTCTACACTTCTGATGTTCCTACTCAGGTTTTCCTTTCTTTTTATTTGCTCCAATCTCTTTCATTTTCCCCACTTTCGTACATCCTCAACACAGAAGTCCTGAAGACTAAAGAACATACAAACTGTAGACGTGGGGAACTGGTATTAATGGCCCAATGGGCAGTATTTTCCTAATGAGGGAAAACTGAAGAAAGACATTAAACACCCAATTAACATCACGGTCTTGGGAAAGTGAGTGGAAATGATGCTTGATCAGATTTTATCATCTAATTTAGAGAGGTAAAATTTCCCTTCATTTTACTAAAAATAACTTTTAAGAAAAAAGCTCTGGTTGGCATCTGAGTTTTACTGGAAAACTTAACAAAACTAGGCTGGAGAGATGGCTGGCTGACAGGGTGTCAATGGACAGCAGCACTAGAAATATAGTCTTGCAGTTCTCTGACATAACTGCGAGTAGATGTCAATGAGGGGAATCACTTGTCTATGACAGCAGCTTCTTTCCTCTTCCCTTAGTCTCCTGGATAAATAGGCCACAAGAATGTTTACAAGTCAGCCATCACTTTAAGATTTTTCAATGGGATAAATGTTAAAATGAAGAATAAGACTCAAAAATCTGAATGAAAACGAAGATGAACACTTTTACAAGCATTGAACTAAACTGCAGCCTGCTGAGAAAAGGAATGCTAGATTCTCATAACAAGAAAAGATTTTTTTAAAGGGGGGCTTCTACAAAAGTGGAAGGAAATATGATAAAGCCATAAAGAATGAGAAACTAAAGACAGTCATAGCTAAATGGATGAACATTAACAATTTTTTTCCTTAAGTAATAAAGATACTAAAACAGAGATAATGAAAAAGAGCATACTTATAAAAGATCCAAATAATAAACACTTGAAAACATGTGAAACGTCACAGTAATCTAAGAAATAAAAACCAAAACATGTGAAACCAAATTAGCCTAATAAATCAGCAAAGATATTAACATAAGTAACAGTGGTATTATCAGAGAAGGAATAGGGAAATCACTACCCCATCTAGATGACAGGAATAAATAATGTGCACAGATGTTTCAGGGGTAATTTTGCAGTATCTGTCAAAAGTGATAAAAATGTTCATTAATTTTTCTTGTCAAATAATTCCTTCCTAGGAATTTATCCAAAAGCATACTCTCAGATGTCTTCCAGAATTTATGAAGATGCTTAATGCAATGTTTTTATATTATTGAAACATTGAAATCAATCCAAAAGACTAATAGTCAAGGTTTATTAAATAAAAAATGAAAATAAAATGAGATACTGAGTACTTTCAAAGATTATTTAATTAATTATAAACATATTATAATGGACAATTGATGGAATGCAAGTTACACACATATATGTGTATTAATTTCAAGTTTTAAAATCTATAGAAAGTCTGAAATTAAATACACAATGGTTATGAATAATTATTATTAAATTTTGTTTTATATTTTTAAGATTTTTACAATGAAAATGTCATGCAGTTATATCCAATAAAAATAAAATGCACTTTGAATAAAAACACTTAAAATTATTGGATCTGATATCTATGTTTCATAAAATCAGTTATTATTAATTCTTATGTTTAATTTGCATTTAAAATTATATCATTGAATTTCCAGTATGGCATATTATTATGATGATATCTTCTTTAGAATGAAATAACATTGCACATAAAAAAATACATTTGAGTTCTCACAACTCTTTCCCACTCACCATTAATCTCATATTCAAGGATATCTAGGCAATCACTGAAAATAAAACTTGAATGTATTATCCTGATATCTAGGACTTTTCTATCCTTGTATCTATATCCTGGTATCTAGTTGAGATAAATATAAAATATTTATTCTGAACTTTTCCATATTATATAGCTAGTATG